AACCTCCTTTTGCAAGAGCTGGCACATTGGTCTTGTTATCTTTGAAAAATCCTAGATGAACCTTCGGTAGAAACCTGCATGGCCCAAAAAAGAACGAACTTCCCGAACACAAGTCGGGTAAGGTAAGCTTTGAATAACATCAATTTTGGCCTTATCTACCTCAATCCCTTTTTTAGACACAATGTGACCCAAAATGAGACCTTGACTCACCATGAAATGACATTTCTCAAAATTCAAAACCAAGTTTGTTTCAATGCATCTTTTTAAAATTTTTGTGAGATTGGTCAAACATTCTTGAAAAGAGTTGCCATATACCGTGAAATCATCCATAAAAACCTCAATTATGTTTTTAACATATTCCGAAAAGATGCTAACCATACAACGTTGGAAAGTGGCCGGGGCATTACACAATCCGAATGGCATTCTACGGTATGCGAAAGTGCCAAATGGACATGTAAAAGTTGTCTTTTCTTGGTCCTCCGGTGCCACCGGAATTTGGTGAAAACCAGAGTACCCGTCTAGACAACAATAATGGGATTTTCCAGCCAACCTTTCTAACATTTGGTCAATGAAAGGCAATGGGAAATGATCTTTTCGTGTGCTTGCATTGAGTTTGCGGTAGTTAATACATACTCTCCACCCGTTTTGCACATGGGTGGGGACCATTATACCTTTGTTGTTTTCGACCACCGTGATCCCCGTCTTCTTTGGAACGACTTGCACCATGCTCACCCATTTGCTATCCGAGATTGGATAGATCATCCCCGCATCTAGGAGCTTCAAAATCTCTTTCTTGACCACTTCCATCATCGACGGATTCAATCTTCTTTGTGCATCCCGTTTCGGCTTGCATTCATCCTCCATTAAGATTTTGTGCATACAAGTGGAGGGGCTCAATCCCTTGATATCCGCAATCGTCCATCCCATGGCTTCTTTATGCTCCTTCAACACCTTGACGAGTTGTTCTTCTTCAAATTCGGTTAAGTGAGTTGAAATGATAACTGGAAGGGTTTCATTCTTCCCTAAATAGGCATACTTCAAGTGTTGAGGTAAGACCTTCAATTCCAATTCAGGTGGTTGAATAAGGGATGGGGGCAATTTTGTATGAGTTGGGGGCAATTCAACTTGCTCGACTTCTAATCTTGTGGATTTCTTCATCTCCATTTTATTTACTAGCTTCTCAACTTCCGGATCCAAATAATAAAGTTTTAATAGCTCGGATAGCTTTCCACAATCAAACCCTTTGCTTAAGATCATCTCCAATATATCACCGTTGGATAACTCGAACAATTCTTGAGTAATTGGCTCGACAACATCAACAAAGTACAAAGATGAAACATCACTAGGATATCTCATGGCATCATAAATATTAAAACTTATTGTTTCACCATCAAACTCCATTGTCAAACTTCCCGCATACACATCGATCTTTGTCCTAGCCGTCTTCAAGAACAGTCTCCCAAGCAAGATTAGAGCCGATTTGGATGATACTTGCTCATCTAGATCAATCACATAGAAATCCGCCGGGAAGACCAATTGGTTCACTTGCACTAGGACATCTTCCAAAACACCTCTAGGAAAGACACTTGATTTATCCGCAAGAGAGATAATGACACCGGTTTCACTTAAGGGTCCGACATTCAATGATTCATACACCGAGTAGGGCATAACGTTGATAGAGGCCCCAAGATCAAGCATAGCACTACTAAAAGTGACATCCCCAATCTTGCAAGGAACCGTGAACATTCCAGGATCTTTGCATTTGGGTGGAAGTTTCCTTTGTAAAACCACGGATGTGTTTTCATTCATCAAAATTTTCTCATTTCCCTTCAACTTCCTCTTTTTGGTGCAAAGTTCTTTCAAGAACTTTGCATATCTTGGAATCTGCTTGATCGCATCAAGTAGAGGGATGTTTACTTCCACCTTTCGGAAGGTGTCCAAAATCTCTTTTTCCTCCATATTCTTCTTTGAAGTTGCAAATCGGGAGGGGAATGGTGGTTGAGTGGCTATTGGTGTTACTAGAGGGATGAACTTCTTTGGAACTCCGGCTTGTGTATCGTTCTTGACTGTAGGTTCTTCAATAGGAATGATCTCTATTTCTTCCTCTTCTTCCCTTGGCTTCTTCTTTGAACTACTTTCTCCGGCTTGCTTGCCACTTCGCAAGGTCACCACATTGACATTTGGGTTCTTTTCGGTTTGAGAAGGGAGTTTACCACGAGATTCCAACTTGCTTATAGATGTAACTATATCTCCCATTTGTGCTTCAAGGTTGGAGATACTAGTCCTTGTCTCTTTTTGGAATTGTTGGGTACTAGTGGCTAGAGATTTGACAATATCTTCAAGAGACATTCCGGAGCTACTCGGTTGAGATTGAGGAGATTGTTGATGATGATGTGGAGGGTGCGGTTTGGATTGATAGTGTGGTTGTTGATGTTGGTATTGAGGTTGTGGTGGTGGATAGGACGGTCTAACCAATGCATTGTGAGGCAATGGTCTTGGGTTGTAGCTTCCGTTGGGGTTTGGCTTCCAACTTGAATTATATGCATTTTGGTACTCGGATGGTTTGTTGTGGTAGTTTTGGAATTCTCCCGTGGCATTCACATGCTCCGCATCTTCTTGAAGGATGGGACACATATCCGTAGGATGTCCCATGGTTGCACATATTCCACAAACCATCACTTGTGGAGTTTGTCCCATGGCTAGCTTTTGGACGACGGATGTTAGATCTTTTATTTGAGACTCAAGATTCGATGTTCCCACTTCATTAACTTTGTGTTGTGTGTCTCTCTTCATGTCTTGGCGAGGGCCAAAATGTTGTGAATTTGCGGCTATGGTGTTGAAAAGTTGCCTTGTTTGTTGTGGGGTTTTACTAAAGACATCTCCACCACTTGAGGCATCAACTAATCTTCTCTCCATTGGCAACAATCCCTCATATAAGTGTTGAATGAGGAGTTGTTCCGGAATTTGGTGTTGTGGGAAACTATAGCACAAGTTGTTGAACCTCTCCCAATAATCATGGAAAGTCTCATTTTGACCTTGGCGGATTCCGCAAATCTCATTTCTAAGACTCGAGACTCTTGAGGCGGGATAGAATTTATCAAGGAAAGCTCTTGCCATGTCGGTCCATGAGTTGATCGACCCCGGTGGGAGATAGAATAACCAATCTTTTGCTCTATCGGCTAATGAAAAGAGGAATGCCCTTAGCTTGATTTGGTCATCGGTTGACCCTTGTGGCTTCATGCTAGTGCAAATAATGTGGAACATCTTCAAATACTATGAGGGTCTTCATTCTCCAATCCATGAAAAGTTGGTAGATGATGGACTAAACTTGACTTCAACTCCGAGCCTCCTTCCAAAACTGGGTAATTGATACCGGTTGGAGTTTGTGTAACATCGGTCTCCATCATTTACCTCAAAGTTCTTTCGGGAACTTCTCCTCCGTCCGCCATTTCAATTGGTTCAATAATGGGTTGATTTTGTTGTAGAGGTGGTGTTTCGGGAATTTCTTGGCGAGGGTCGGGACTGGAATCGGGTTCTATAACGCTTAATGAAGCGGTTTCAACCTCCGGGTCCCCGTGGGGGTTAGAAGTTTGACCACGTTCAACTCGTTTTTCCTTCGCCAAGCGCCTTGCTTCTTTTTCGATTTCCGGATTGTAAATCAAGTCACCTGTACGCTGAGATCTGGGCATAGAGAAACGAATTGATTAAAAATAAACCAATCCCCGGCAATGGCGCCAAAAATTTGGTGTTTGTCGAGGCCAACACAAATAATAACCCTAAATATTACACACTAAAATAGTGTATAGTGGTAAAGGGATCGAATCCACGGAGATTGGTTCAATTTATAACTCTATGAAAAATCTCTTTGTAAAAATACTTGTGAAATAACAATAAAAATAAAATGGGGGGGGGGGGGTTTGATGTTTTGAAATACTTGAAACAAACTAGAATTAACTGTGATTTAAATATACAATTGCAACAAAAATAAGAATTTGATGTAAAATCAATAAGGGAAGGATGGTTGACTTAAAGTTTTCTCACTTTGACTTTTGATGAACATATCATTAGAATCCAATAGTGCAATACTTTGATTTAAATCCTTAATTTGGTTGTAGTAATCCAAGGAGCTTGAGATTACCTAGACTTTTCTTAATTGTTGAAATGGCTAGAGAAGCTCATAACAATTTCCTTAGTCAAAGTCACTAATTCCAAATAGCATGTAATTAGTGAAAGTCAACTAGCATTAAGAACCAAAAAATCACCAAATCCAAGAGGAGTCAATTGCTTTCACCACCATGTTGGAGGAAATGTTTTTATGATTGTGTGAAGCAAAAACAACACAAAAATCACTTGTTGCTTGCTAATTTGAGGATCATTTACTTAATCAAGAAATTAGCCAACTAATCACCACAAACATATTTAAACTCATGAATAAAAACATACTAGTAGTGATAATATGATGAAACACAAAACATTTCCATAAAGATTCAAGAACAAGTTCATAGATTCTTCAACATCCAAAAGATTCCATAAACATACTAGTAGCCTTGCCTGGTGCTCTCAGGGCGCTTACCTGCCAGCCTTGTATAGCATCCACACCTGGCGCTTGTCTAACATCCGCTCTTGGCACTCTCCTGGCGACCCCAAGAGGCCTTACCCAACTCCTTTATAGTTGTGAGCACACTATGGTTACGTCGTGACACATTGTTTTCCATAAAAACCATGCTTTAGGCTCCTTAATGACCTGAACCGACCCATTCTAAAAAAAGGGGTGTTACATTACTTTCTTTTAAAACCTTTTATATATTTTTTACGACTTTGTATTTTACAAATATGTTTTTATAATTTCTACAAAATTAGTTTTTCACAACTTTTTTGACATCTTTATTTTATGAATTTTTTTTAGATATTTTTTTTTCCCTTTTCGAAAATCCATTTTCCAATTGTTTTACATATATTTATTTTCAAGCATTCAGTAGGTCCGAAACACATGCCAATATTCATTGCTTTATATATTTATTCGATGAACTTTGACCACCTTTTAGCTTTTTCTCGTCCCATAGGACGAGTTGGAGCTTCATATGGATCATCGTTGTTGAGGTCAATCCTGATATGAGCATTAGAAGATTGATGGTGGGTTGACTCGGAAGTTCTACTTCGTTTGGACATACCCGCAAAATCATCAACATTTTTTTTAGATTCATCCATTTTGGTTTGTTCCTCACGACTCCCCAAAGCGCTTCATTTGTAAAAGATTTTCCGGATTTTTCCTTATTAATTTGACGACATTTTGCTATGACATCCACTTTATTTGCACCACTTTGCGGGTTGTGGGTTACGTTCATGTGGATATCATTGAACTCCATTGAATATTTGTTGGCGATCCTCCGTTTCGAGTACACTTGACTAGTACTGTGGTGCTCCTTATTCATTCGAGCACAAAAACTTTTCCAACATCTAAATTTAAAGGTTTTTGCATTTTTCCGTCCCTCATCGTTGGATCCTTTGATACATCAAGCTATGCTTGTGCCAATGCATTCTCTTCTCTATCCGCCCATCCTTGGCATTTTGCCTTCGCTTTTTCTTTACCTTTTCATTTGAGGGTCACCTTTGGTCTCTTCAACAGACTCTTTAACGCGTCCTTCATCTGAAGAATCGGTAGACTCATCACTAGGCAATGTGGTTCATATTAAAAATTAGTTTGGGGTTGGGGTTGGGGTTGGAAAAAGATTAGTTTGGGGTTGGGGTTGGGGTTGGAAAAAGAATTGGGTTTCTTAAACCGAATCAGACAGATCAAGTTCAAAATTTGGATGGGTAATGGGTTGGGATTCGAAATTAGTGGGGTTAGTTTTGGTAAAATGACATGGGTTGAGATTCGAATTGAGAAGAGTATGGATAGAATGGACATATTTGTGGAGCGTATATGATAATATGATAGGTAAAAAAAATTGTTATCTCACTATTCAATTATATTGACTTCTAATTAAATTATTTCATTTTTTTCATTAATTTAATTATTTTATCTTTATCTATCTAAAATCTTATATAAAACCCTCTCGTTTAACTAACATTTTTTTAAACACGACTTATTTTAATATAAAAATTCAGTTATGTACAAAAATTCACATATTACTATAGTTTATATATATATATATATATATATATATATATATATATATATATATATATATATATATATATGTTTTGTAAAGAAAAAAAATTGGAAGCAGAACGTGGTGGCTGACGCTCGAGTTAGACTCGATTCCTTTAAACAGATTTGCCATTTGTTCCCAAGGTACAACACTAACAGTGTGTGTACTTTGCCTGAAAGAGTCGCCGAAAGCTGGTGTAAAGAGAAGGAGGAAGAAGAAAACAGTTTTCATTCGAAGCTGCATTCGTGTCCGCAGGTCGCGCCCATGCACAAGTTTGGTGTTTTTGGTCTACGAAATCCAAGATTTGTACCCCCTGTGCACCATGCACAAGTTTGGTGTTTTTGGTCTACGAAATCCAAGATTTGTACCCCCTGTGCACGGGTAGAAATTTTAGTATAATCATAGATACAAGCTTGTAAGTCTTTCATGCATTCAAGCTTATAAACCTTGGTGAGTTTGGTCTTTCTACCAATGTGGGACTCATTCCCATATTCATCTATTTTTGCTAAATTTATTCTCAAATACCCTTATTTGAGTATCGATATCTCATTCACATATACTCTATTTTGGACATATAATATATCGTTTTGAAGTCCTCGTGGAGGAGAACACAAACCCACTTAGAGTTAGGTATATATACAACATATGTATATATTTATATATGTCCAAAGTTAGTAAAAATATAAATATTTATACTAAATTTCCTATATATATATATATATATATATATATATATATATATATATATATAGAGAGAGAGAGAGAGAGAGAGAGAGAGAGACTTAGTTTATTTTGTTTTTACTAACTATTGTGTGCTAGAATGCACAGATCTGGACCAACGGATGGAATTAATCAATAGACATGATTTGAAAGTGTATGATATTACAATGAGATAACATGTACCATATAATCACACAAATTTTAGCAAAAGGGTCTTTTGGACAATTAACAAGAATTATAAAAGGAAATTTCCGGGTTTTTAAGGATAATTAATTCTCCTAATTTTAAAAATCTAAATTTTTTTAATTAACTCAATTTAATTCCAACGTAATTTGTAAACATAACCGATTTTATTCCGTCAGAATATTTTTTTGTTAAAATGATGCTCTAACAGAATTTTATTCTATTAAAATATTATTAAAGAATAACAAAATTTTTGAATCCGAAGTTGAAAAATAATAACATTCTAATATATACAAATACATCCGAACTTAAATAAAAATTCATACACATTCTTACGGACTAAAAGTTTTATACATTTCAATATAATTATACATATTCTAAAAGAATATCAACAAAAATAAATACAATTCTTAAAAAATAACAACATTTTTAAAATGTGAGTATGATAAAACTTTATTCATTTTTCAAGTTTTTCCTATTAGCTCTTCAACTCATTCTTCCAGCTATTTATATCACAAATACAACAAAAACTAATAATGGTTAAAAACATGTTGCTTGCAATTAACTATCATTTTATATATTCTGGTAGAATACATAGAATATGAGAGAATACATTGAATATATTCTGACAGAATACATAGATTTTATTCAGGCATAATATATTCTGACATAATACATAGAATACATTCAAAAGTATCGTATTTACCGCTAATATAATTTTAGATTCCAAATACACAATAACGGGAGACAATATAAATTGGAATTCAAAATAACAAATTGAACCAAAATAATACACAAACAAATTAATTACCTTTTTAAACAATTTTCTAGAACAAGATGATTAGCTTTCACCAATCTATGTTGACATATGATATCAAACCTTTACTATGTTGGTATGAATTAGTGATGTAAACAAATCTAAGTTGTGAGAATAATGAAAACCCTAAAAATCTTAGCATTCTTTTGTAGATTATTCTACCATAATATAACATTCTTTGGTGAATATTATAACATAATAATATACTTGTTGCATAATATTCTTAAGGAATAAATCATTTGTCTTTCGCTGCTATAGTTTTACTCTCTACATTTTAATGTGTGTGTTTATGTGTGGTAAAGAAAGATTATTACAGAGAGAAAGAGAGAGACCTCAGGGTTCTTGTAAGCAGATAGGTGCTAGAGTAAGAGGAAAATGGAAAGGGTGAGACTGATAAAAACAAATACAGCAGCTACTCCGGTTGTCCATGGAAATTAGGAGTATTTCATGCAAATTTCCAAAGTATTTACAGAACTGAATTTAACCTAGGATCCGTGTTGATCACAGATGACTAAACGAGGTACTGAAAATCGTTCATGTACAATAGCCTCAACATCACTAAATGGAGCTCTTTACAACTGGGAAAATGCATGTAAACCAGTTAACATGTTCCATGATTGAGCTATCAAAATAGGGTCTAAATTTGGGGAAATCCAAGGAAAAGAAACGGCATGTACCTCGTGTTTAGGCTCGTTCTGATACCTAACTTTACGCCATTGAGAAATTGTAGATCCATGAAATACAACGACTGTAAAATAGGAATCTAAAAGAAGGATTTTATATGGAGCGATAGAAGCGATGTCTAAGAGAGTTGGTTCTGCTCCGCAATTGAAAGCGTAAGTGATTCTCGAAGGTTAAATCATCACAACCGAATTTGCAACATCTTCTCAATTCATAACCATTCAGAAGTATGCGGTCTCATCTAGACTGTTGTTGAAGACCTAAAACACAATTCCAAGTCATCTCAATCTCCAAAAGATGAACGAACCCAATCACGCTAAAAGAAAATAGATTCAAGATTCAAATATACATGTATGAATTGAGAGCGTCGCAAATTGAATATAAACTGATGAATTGTTGATAACCGTGGGGATAAGACGAATGAAGAAGGGTTGTCCTTTTGATAATCTCCAAAGTAAGGACAAAGAGTCTTTGATTTTTTGGTCAGCGATTGAAGAAGTTAGAAGCCTTTTTGGTGGAAAAGAGTAACAGATGCATCGATCATAGGAGGAAGTTGTGCGTACTCTTTAGGGTTAGGGATGTTGGTTTTGTAGGGTTTAACTAATTAAGGAGAGATTAATTGAACGATTTTTTTTACCATAACTAGATATACTAATTACCATTATACCCCTTTTTAATTTATTTAATGATTTATTATTTCCTCAATTTTATTGGTGCATACATGTACACAATAATTGCTAGAAACATTTGAACATAACACACACACACACACACTCTCTCTGTATATATATATATATCTTTACTATCTTATAAAAGAAATCTCACTATTTCTAAAAGTAGATTGGATATAATAATATTATTTTTTTAAGACGTTCAAATCATTAAGCTAATAATACAAGTAGTCATCAATAAATTAATATTAAATTTTAACTTGTGTTTTGAATCCTTATATTTCTCAACAAATTCTATCTTCATCCCTGAATTTCGGATAATTCAAAATTTGAAACCATCAGAAAATACATGTTGATTCAAATATCACTCCTGCAGATGGCTCTTTCTTAACAGGTTTTTATTTTAATCCTTAATTATAATTGATTTCATCATTTTTAACTTTTTGTATGTTTATCTTATAAATATATTGGGTGAAGGCTTTATTATATAAGGTTTGTTCCTAAAAAGGTTTTTACTATGTTTCTTTAATGTGTTGGCTTTGCAGGTTCAAAGAACTCAACCAAGATGGCCAGTTAGAGCATTGTATTATCATTAGTTTGTATATTCTAGCATCTTACTTTTGCAATAAAGAACGGTTAAACACAAGATTTGACATGATTAAGGTAGTTTGTATATTTTTCATCTTGTTTAGTCTAAAAATGAAACCTTTTTCATCATTGGTCCTTATAATATCAAGTTTCATCACATGGACTTCCTGATTACGGTGATTATTGTCTTTATTATAAGGTTCTATATAGATTTTGTTCAATATTTTAAGGTTTTGAGAACCTAAATCAATATGAATCCTTGAATTACATACCATCGTTGAAAATGTTTTAATTTGTGACCAAACTTGATTTAAAATCACAATGAACAAGTTGACACCTGAGTATTTTGACCTTTTCAAAGGCCTATTTAATGACTTTTGAATCACAACACCTGATATTCTAAAGGTTTATTTTTATAAACTATTATTTATATATTTTAGCATTTTACTTAGTAGGACATTAAATTAATAAAGGAATTAAGGAAAACGAAAAAAAAGAGGACGATAAACAATACAAGTGGTTTGGGTATGTATAAATGGAAGTAATAACCATTTAGGGGGTGTTTGGTAAAAAAGCTTATTGCTTATTAGTTTATTAACTTATAAGTTAATGTATGGTAA